ACATTTTATGGGCAGACATCTGCTGGAATGTACACAGTTTTTTTGATAGGCTGCATTTCTCTAGTCTCTCATTAAGAGAAGAAGCTTAATGATGGCAGCCTGTAGCGCAGATTTTCAACTTTTTACCAACTTCAATCCGCAGCCCACTTAAACATCCTAGCTTTCAGGGTCCCAGACACATCTATGAATAAATAAATACATAGCAACAACTTATGGTAGTTTACTAAATGCCTGGGAGACACAATTAGGCCATTTAACCATAGGGTGCTATAGCTACACCATCAGGAATCCAGCGTGGACTTTTAAAAGCAAAAAATCAGATGACAGGAACCAATGTGCGTCATGAAAGAGAATCGCAAAAGCACACTGTCAATCAGCGACCATACTTATATCAGAGGGTAAACAGCTCTGCAGAATATTTCATTTACAACACTGATGCAGAACTCCTTTTGCCACTTTTCATATTTTGAAGAAACGTGGAAAGGTTTAAAACTGTTTTTTTTTTTGTTATAACATTATACTACATTTTGTTACTTAGTTCAAAAATACAACTGTAAAAAAAAAAACTGAATTTAAAATGAAGTTATATCATGTAATAAAGTCATCTACAGTATAAAGTACAGCACAGTATTTTTGTTCTATCACTGGATGAGAGGATGTTATTCAGCTAACTTTCTCATAGGCATGTGCCGATTTAAAAATCTGATATTACAATAATTGCCTAACCATTCATCACAAGTAGTGCACCGAATGCCATTTTCTAACTGCAATAATGGTGGTGATATGGCAAAAATATTACATTATATCACAATACTTCAAGAAATTTTCTCAATATATTACAATAGTTATTTTTTCAGATATTTGATCAATTGGATCTGATAAAAAAGAACGCTACATTAAAAAAAAATACTATTAAATACTGTGAACACCAGTGATTTTTATTAAATATTTGCGATACTGTGTTGCAAAAAATCCAGTTTAATGAGACTATTTTTGCTCTCTTTATAACCAAACATGGAGTTGGTCAGTACTGACAATATACACAATGTTCAGAAAAGCATACTGTATTGTATTGTGACATAATTTATCTCAAAAACAATATAAATTGTCATACTGACCAGGTTTAGTTGGTGGTTCTACAACTCTGGGATTGCTGTCTGTCACCGATGGCACTTTGTATAACGGCATAGCAGGCTTCCCTTTAACATTTTACAGAATGGTAATAAGTGGGTAATTATCTAGTAATATTATTGTAATAATTTGTATTAACCTAAAAATGAAATGCTTTCAAGTTATTATTGAACAATACATTAGTAATTGTAATGCTAACACGTTGGTATAAGCTAATTTTCTAGCTGTTAATGATAATTAATAATAAGTTACGGTAACAGAGAAAGATAAACATGTTGTGTAAAGATATATGTGGTGTGTTGTGAGCTTTTGCCAGATGTGTTCTTTATAAAAGAATAATAGTATTTTGTTAACAGGCAACACAAAAGGAACATGTGGTGCTGCATTTTTCAGCCCTGATTCTGTGTAATCTCAGTATATTATATCTCATCTATTACCGAGTAACAACATGTGTCTGTAGGTGGGCCGACACGTAAAAGTAACAGAACAACCGTGGGTGATTATAATGCAGTAATTTAGTCATAATCTCTGTGCAGTTATTCACATTATTTTGAGGAACTGATGTTCTCACTTGATGTGATATGCAGTAACTGAAACAAGATGAGAAGAAGTATGTTTGCATTTTACAGCTCCAGGACATTTAGGTTCACTGTAATTAAAGCCTGTAATTGTGTCTGCATATAATAATGTGCCTGACCATTTAAAGACATAATAGTTAATAAACAAAGTTGAAATGAGTGAATCAGTATTTTACAGCTCTAATTCCATGTAATTTCAGCAGAATTACTGCATTGTTTTGGGATAATAACTCTAAGATTATAAAACTATATAACGATTTAGAAGAATTGGGGTGATATGTCGATTATGCAGAAACCTTTTATAAAATCTACAGTAATAACTATAGTATTACTCACTTTTACCGTAATACCGGAAATGAACATTTTATTTTTGGGTAATTAGTTTGTTACCGATATTTTCCCTTTCAGTTTACACTACAATTACTAACTCATTATTTATTAACTATTAGGAAATTAACATGTCACTTTTAGGATAGTGTGAATTCATTATTTTACCATGTCAGTCACTCTTTGTTATCAAAACAAATAAAAAAAAACTGAATGAGTTCAGACACTCGCATAGAAAAAAGAAAAAAGAAAAAGAAAGAAGAAAGAAAGCCTTGTGCATATTTTATATAGTAATTGAAAACACTGTAGCAGACAAAAGCTCCAGTTTTACACCCTGAAAATGACAAAATGATTTTACTTTTGCCAACAGGGACATGCATCCGGCATGTGGTTCATTTCTGGAAACGTGTTTTTTGGACAGTCTAGACGGGCATCCCTAGATTTTTTTGGGCCAGGAGATAAACCCTCCAGTTACTACACTGAGTATAAAAGGATAGCACTGCAAACTTGACCATGAGCTGTGAAGGTGCTCAGACCAGTACCACCCTAAAACAGCTGTACAAACATTAAATAGAGCATAGGATCAGAACGTGACAACATAGCAGGAGCTTGCAAAACCAGAGCTACTCTGCGTATATATATTTCAAAGTGTCTGTGATAAGAATTTCATGTGTGTTGAATGTTGTGATATGTATTATTAATCATAGAAAACTGGCACATGCCTACTATTTGGCAGGGCCAAATCAAATGCCCTCATGGGCCAACCTTGGCCACATCTTGGACAGCCCTGGTTTAAAGGTTTAGTATAGCCTATTCTGCCTTTGGTTTACCGGAGTCTTGCTTTAAGTCATATCCTGGTGCTCCGTCACACTCATACACTACAATGCAAAGAGGAATTTCATTTTATGCAGCCCTGCACGCAGGTAATCTTGCTTCAAAGCCGTCTTTAAAGTGAACACAGTAATTTCCGCTACGTTCTAACATAATAGAGGCTGATTTGTACTTGATTGCTGTCTCCCAGGACTGCAGTGATGATTAGTTCATGTTAGCGTCAGCACTGTCAATGCAAAAGTTGGTTTCGCCTGTTTAATTGTTTTTAAACCAAAGGCCTCACAATATCGAGCTCTTTGAGATCTATTATCAAGAGCACAAAACCAACAATGTGCTGATGGGGCAAATGGTACTGAATGTAAACAAAACACTGTTCCAGCAACATTGAACTACCTGGTATTTCAGAAGATTATGAGGTTCTATCAGCCAGGCAGTCACTGAAGGGCCATGTTCCTGCTGCTCAAAGATGATGAATCTGCCGCCTCCTGGAAACACCTGATCCCTGCAACTGCACTAGACCCATGTATTTTAAATGTCCCTCAGATAACCAGCAGTGTCACAAAGACGGGCCAGGGGCACTCAATCTAAAATTGTTTCTAAAACTTTCATGGGCCCTTAATTGACACACCAACTCATTTTCTTCTAAAATGAAAACAGAATAGGACATTTCAGAGGAGACCTAAATGATGCCATTTGTGAAAGTCAAGATTTTTAAGTGCACTTGGAAGGCAAACATTAATCACATTCGCTGAGACGAGATCTCTGTGCCAAACTCTGACAGTGTTAAATACTTCGACCGCTACGCAGAACAGGTCGAATTCTTGGCCAAAGGACAACTGACACAAAGGGAGAGTTTATCCTTTCCTCATTCATTTGTGTGACTACTTTTAAAGTGGTTGTGGAAGCTATAGAATAGCTGCTGTGTTTTCACCCAGAGTAAAAACATAAACCAATAAAATATTTAACAAAAACGTGACAGATCGCTACATACATTCCTCCAGGCAGCCAAGACAAGACTAGAGCTATGTCCAAGATCCAGTGCACTCAAACGATCCCACAATGCACGGCAATAAGTAATGTACAACCGATGTAGCTACCCCAGTAGACAGGGGATATCCATAATGCAAAGTTGTATAACACGTATAACGTTACTGTATGAAATCATTTACAACCATCTCAAATTCTGTTAGCTATAACAGTGTCCAATATAGTGATCCAGACTTTTTAATGTACAGTATAATGATTAGGAAACCATTTCAAACACAGCATAGATGATGGTTACAGTAATAGTTCATATAAACGTCTTATTTATTCATTGTTTTTCCATATTCAAACCATAATCAATCAGACGAGATATGTTTGTTGTCTGAAGTTTGCTTCCTTAAGAGCTACTCATTAAAGGCCCACTAAAGGTGTTAAGCTCATTTTGGGGGTGACAGACTTCTTTTATTTCACCCTCATAGCTCCAGTGAAAAACTAGCTAAATAAGGAGACTGTACACCAAACATGTTTGGCAAAAGAACCACATTTTGGGTTAAGGGAACATTGTGTGAATCTGATTTTTAGGTGAACTACTCCTTTAATGCATACTAACTCAGTGACTGTTTGGAACTTGTAAACCGTCAGTGAGGAGAGGTAAACTTCATTACTAGCCTTTTTACTCAGCAAGAGTACCTTTTCACAGACAATGTCAAAGACACAGGCTTAAACACGGACTCTTCACGAATAAACAGGTAAAGTTATTCTAATGTTAGACAGTCCGTGAAGAAGAACATCTCTCTCCACACACACCATCACCGGCTGACCAGTGAGGCTGGTGCAGGTTGGAATGGACTTCATCTGAAACTGTTAAGCAAAAGCTCCGACTAGCAAGACAGCAACTTCTTCATTCTTTGCGTCGTTGGCACTGAGAAGGACGAGCTGACAACACACCCACAGTCTAACACACGCAAAGAGCCGGCGCTGAATAAGTAAAAGTCTGTTGTTATCTTAGTAGGTAGCAGTAACAGTTACAGGATAAACAACGATGCCAACTCAAAGACAGTCTGCACTGTCGACATGTTAGCACTGAGAGTACAAACAAGCGAACCCACAAAAACACCCGCGCCCGCTCTCAATACAGGCTTCACTCACCTCTGCAGCTGTTTCACCAACACTGGACGACTACGGAGCAACGCAGGAGGCCGCAAAACAGGAGGCTACACTTCGCTGGAGAGAGAAACGACGACCCTTCTTCAGCCTCAGCCAACAACGCCGGAATGAACACACACTCGCACACACCAGGGTCCTCTGTAGCGCTGCGAGACGCGGAACACACACACTCCCGAACACCGCGAGACACAACGAGACCAAATAGGATCCGAGCGACCAATCCCGAGACAAAACGCTCATCCAATGGAATGATAGGCGGCCGTTCTAGCCGTGCTCCGATTGGACGGCTTTCTATGATTGACAGGACAGAGAGCCATACATATCTTAGCAAATCTTATCGAGGTCCTCAGTTTTTCACTCCTCGTTTTGCGTTTTTCTCAACTGGAGTCCTGAATCCACCTGAAGGATACAGTTTTCCATGTCTAACACCAAAGAGGGTCGCGTAAAGTTTGTTTTTTATTTTGTTTTTGTTTTTTTTCTAATTCCATTAGGTGTGTGTAGAATATAGTTTCCCACTTTCAGTCGTACGGGTATTTTAGAAGTGATACTCATCAGTTAAAGGAAAATTCCACCCTATGTTTAAAAATTGTCTAGAAAATTCAATATCTGATTTGTAAACAATGTCATTCTGGGTGGTTTGATGTGAAATGGTGCAAACTTACATACTCCGATTTTCTTTACAATGGAAACCAGAGGTCTCAGTGTCTACAAGCAAAATATAGCCATTTTATTTACCATCCCAAATGCCCAGTTTATGCATGTTATTTATGTTAAAATAGAGGTAAATCTGGAAAAAAAAAGTGTTCATTGGGGACTATTTTACAATGCCATGCATACCCCCACGTTATGAATGGGTTAAAAAATACATATGTTTTAGGTCAAAATCTTAGCTCAACAAAATCTTAAAACAAGCTCAGAAAATCAGAAATTTTGAAAAATCAGTGGAATTTCCCTTTCCCTTAACCAGTTCACAGAGAAATCCTGCTATATGAAATAGAGCACAATTTTGTCTTTTCACATGAGTCACATCATTAGCTAAGCATTAAAACTCTCCAGAGCTGAATCAGGTGCGTTAGAGCAGGAAAGCATAAAACTGCAGTGTAAATGCCACTGGACTGATAAATGCTAGTATAGACACAATTTCTCAAAAATGTGCTGTATTTGACATCACATGAGAATCACAGCGTGGCTTGCGTTCCTTTCAAGATCTTTCAGCCTGTTTAGCTTTTAGTGGGAGCGCCCACAAAGGCTACTGGGATGAAATTGACTTCCCTCTTGCCATTTTTATTCAGTTGCACTCTATACAAAATCATGAATATAGTGAGCAAAAGGTTAGACGATTGAAGATTGGGTCTCTAGTGCGGCTCAACAGTCTAAGTTTTGGTCCTTCATCAGGAGATTGCAAGTTCGATTCCCGATGATGCCACACCTCTCCCCACATCACTAACTGATGTAACAGAACTTACAGTTAGCGTTATCCTCCTGGCAAATTAGGCTCTCTATTAATGTTGCATTAGCAGCAGTTCAAAGAGTGATGTTTCACATGTCTTAGATGAAGCACATACCGGCCTTCACCCTGGTAGCACTGTGTAAAAGGGGGAGACCTAGCTAGCAGGTGGACGTGTCCAAGGCAAAATTTAACACCTGCTCATGTGCTCTAACCCAGTCTTCTGAAAAAGTACTGAATTCAATGAGCCAGCCTTAGGACTACAACATGTTAGCTCCTGTGTTTGGTGGCTATTCAGACAGGCTTTTTGCTAATTCAATAGCTTCCCATATAATGATGTCAGTACAGACTGTCTAGCACAATCAAGCTTAACCTTGCTTGGTCAATAGAGCTGTCTACATCTCATGCAGTGAAATGAAATTCCATTAATCTTAAAATGTCAAAATGCTATGTCCAAATGAGTCAATATAATTGAAAAGTACATCTGCTTCTAAAATGAAAGTAGCACTCGCACACTGCCAGGAGGCCTTTCTAGGGCCTCATTAGCCAAAGGCAAATGAATAGAAAAGCCAGTGAAACAGCCTAGCTGATTAGGCTTGATAGTCATAGACTGCACGCATGCAACTTTCAGTGTCTCGTCTTAACATAAACATTCTAACAAGCATCCTAAATCACAGCAACTATGTGATTAAACTTCTCTAATGAGACACAATCAACAATTAGGTAATGCCTTCAACTTAGGCTATTAATGTAGCCTCCGTTATTCTCAAATGCTTAAAGTTTTGGGATCTGCCTGCGTATTTGTGAATGTGTGGTGGGTGCTGAAAAAAAAGAAGCCAAAGCTACAGGCACTAATTAAGCTGATGAAACTGGTGCTCCATCAAAGCGTAGGCAATGCTTTTAAAACCAACTTTCTTCTGCCATGTTTGTTTTCTTTGTCTGGTCAAGACATATAAAAATAACTAACTAGCTCATCTTCATGCGCTACAGTCTTACTTTAGCAATTAGTATGCAGAGTCACATCCAACCAGAGAGATTTTTCTTGCTGGGGTGAATCATTTTACTGCAGATAGTTATGGATAGTTGATATATATTCAACATTCCTTTAGCTGACTGTGAGAAATCTATTCTCAGAGGTGAAGATTTCGACAACAACTATGTCCAGAATACCAATGCACTGCCTCATTACCTCATGCCTCTATAATAGAGATAACAATGACCCACCCAACGACCCTCATCAGTTTCACCGCAAAATCACGTCAGCCTGCTCTGTTACAAAATGGCTGTGATTATGCGCTCACACATTTTTCCTGAACCTGTTTTTTAAAATGATCAGGCTCATTTGTAGGGGGGAGGGAGGAGAAAAGATACAAAAGAAGAAAAAAAATGCAGTACAAAAGAGATTCAGAGTCAAACCACATGTCCTGGCAGTCTTCTCCTCACACTCCTCGCTCTAGAGACATCGCTAGAAAACACTGTGTCCTCATTAAGAAAAGGGGAGTCTTTTTATCACTGTCCAGCTTTGCAGCCTGACAATACGCTTCATTTCGAGCACTGTGGATACATCCCATGTGGTACCACTGCTAAAAATATACCCACTTGCTCAAGAAGTAGAAATATGTTACTTCTTGTTATTTGCAGTTTAGCAAAGATGCAAACTCTGGACTTGGGACGAAATCAAAAATGTAACCATCACTACATCTGTTAAACATGCCAACTACACTCTTACAGCGAAGCTGCAATAATTCTAGACTGGGATTTTTCTGGTTTAAAGGCTAGGAAAATCCCCTTCTAATGATGTATCTTGAAGGTGGAAGTACATTTTGAAAGAGTACAAATGTTTTGGGGCAGATGCTTGGGTGAGGCTTTGATGATCGATTTAGGTTAGTGCAATATCACTAATGCTGGCGAGCACCACACATATTTATTAGCTTCAATATCAGTCAGGATTTGTTGAGAATCACAGGCATTCACACAGATTGTGATGTAATTGTGTAATGCATGCTGGGTATTGTAGTGAGAGAACACTGATGCATGCAAAAAGCTCTGTCAAATCTGTACTGATGAGGCTCAGGGATGCAATGCTGCTCTACAAAGTACTGCATAACATTACAAACAATATTTCAAAGAGCCCATACATACTTCAGACATTTTTCTTTTTATTTACTTTTACCCTGAGGTCCATTTATGATGCTTGTGCTGGTTTCTGTACCAAAAACAGCCTTAATTCATTTTTTACATAACCATTTCCCAACCTTTTTTATCCTTTAGATATGAACAGGCTGTTTTTGTTACTGTGTCTTCAAGACTGATATATTTAAAAGAACTCTGCTCTGATTGGCTGCCCTGTGTTAAACTTCATTCAAAAAGCAGTCCAGGCTGAAACACTCCTTATAACTTTCGCGAGTGGGCGAGGCTAAACGGCTGCAGGCTGAATAGGCAGAAATATGTGAACGTTTTGGCTTTTGTGACACAAAAAATGTTTTCAAGGCTTTTCAAGGCTGTTTTGTGACTTAGTTTCCTTATATGGACTACATGGACTGTTGAGCGAATGGTATGTTTTGAAACATTAACTATGTTCGATTACAACATGAAGATTTAACATAGAGAAAAATTCAGTTTTCCATGAAATGGGCCCTTAAAGTTCTTGTTTCAGGCCTAAATGGCCCTTTAACAGTCAAAGGTTTGTTCAAGCGTGTAATCACTGAACCTATCTTGCTATTTTACTGATTCTCTTACCTGTCAAACTCCTGCCATGTACTCTGAGTCATGACTTTGACAAATTAACATAATTAACATCTATTGTCCACCTGTCAGACCTTGTTTTCAGAAAACTGACGTTTTTTGAAGTGCTGAAGCAGAGCCTCTTACTAGGCTGCACTGACAAACGTGTAAGCGCTAGTGCATTGGTAAAAAGCAGGCTGAATATGGAAAACGGCCTATTCAGTCAGCAAGTCGTCGCCGAGAGAGTAATCCCTGGAGATGGCTTCGACTGCAGTCTCTCTCCTCATCCTTCCACTGCAGTGGAATTACAAGGGAGAAGTAAAACAGTTTGGAGACCCTCATTGTGAGATGGCTGATTCTATCTCTCCCAGTCTGCGTGTGTGTGTGTGTGAGGCTGAGCCACCGGTAGAGAAAAACAAGTACAGTTTTCTCCAGGTCTTTGTAGTTTGACTGATTTGAAGGAGACTGACTGGGAGAGATAACACGCTCAAGAAGAAGTCCATTTCTTCCTGCCTATTTGTATGCTGCTGTTCCTCCTCAATTTCTTTCTGCTGAGATGGAGCAGACGCCTCTTTAATGCACTGCTGTCCATATCTGATATCCAGCTCAGCAAAAAAAGTGACTGAGCGGAGAAAGGGTGAAGGAGGTCTGACTCTGGATAGAGATATTTGAGGGGAAACTTCTGTGTAACCTGAAAATAACACTTCCCATCTTTTTGATTTCAGCACCTAATTCAATTCCATTACATTCATATGTATTTTTTCAGAGTTGGGCAAAATGCTTTGAGGAAGTAGTGATGGCTGAATGCTGATTACACTGTCTTTAATGTATTCAGTAATGCAGTCCATTCCAATGCATTAAAAGTTATTCAGAATACATGTAGAATACATATCAATAAAGCACATTTTTTCTATGTTCACACTTTTCCTCACTGTTATTGTTGGCAATTTTTTATATAAGTCTTCTGTAAGTATGTTTCATGAAAAATTT